AGGGTGGGGGGGTGAGGCATAAGAAAGGATGTGGCAAAAGAAAGAGAGAGAAAGAATAAAACAGAGAGAAAAGAAGGGGGTGGTGGAGAGGGTTGGTGGGGAGGGGAAGAGAGATAGAGGGAGAGTTGAAAGAAAATGCAGTGAAAGAGAAGAGCGGGGGGGGGGGGGAGGAAAGAAGAAGAGAGATAAAGAGAGAAGAAAAAAGGGGGATGGTGGAGTGTGAAAATAAAAAAGAAGAGTCCATCAGCAAGAGAAAAGAGAAGGGGGGGGTGCTGAATGAAGGAGGAGGAGGGTGGGAGGGAAGGGAGGGGGTGAGAGCAAAGGGAATGAAGAGAGGAAAGGAGATAGAAAGACAGAGAGAGTGAGGAAAAGGAAAAACAGCAAGGGAAGACATTAACTATTGAACTTCCAGATTTCTTTCAGGCTGTGTTGAGAAACAGTGCGGCAGAGTACCTGCGGGCTAAGTACAGGTTGTGTGCTTAAGTAGTCAGCACTGAAGATGATCCTAATAATTAGACAGGTATTCCATTTTACCAGAGCTTTCCAAATCCTTCAAATAGTAAACACATGAAGTAAAAAAAAAAAAAAAGTGTGTTTTATACATGTATGTAAAGGTGCAGGCGAGTGTAACAAACAGTGTGTGGACACATGCCAATTGTGACTGTAAGGCTGAGGACTGTGCATAAACATTTCCTACTAAATAACAGGAAAGGGCAAACCTTGAAAACCTTGATCAATCATCAGCGGCTGGGAGTGCTGCGAGAATGAAAAAGATAGAGAGAAAGGGGAGCGGAGGGGGAGGAGGGAGAGATAGGGAATGAGAGTGAGCGTGAGGGAGGGGGGAGAGAGAAAGAGAAAGAGATTGAGTGAGGGTGTGAGTGAGGGGAGAGATAGCAGGAAGTCGAGGGAGAGAATGGGAGAAAAAATAGAAGGAGAGCAAGGGAAGAAACAAAGAGATAAGAGGCTGAAAGACAAAGAAACCACATGGAAGAAACAACAAGGGACACGTACATAAAACAACACAGAACTAGCCTATGGGGAAAATGAAAAAGACAGAGACAACAAAAGTTTGGGGGAGAAATACACTGGCTTGTTTCCAGACCTGAATCTTCATAACAGCAAAACCTGCTCACGTGTCCATTTACTTTGGGTACATTTTAGTGAGTACGGCTGTGGACAGCTAATGGTTGAAAAGGCTACAGTGGATAACGAGCGTAAAATTTCATTCAGTTCTTAGATTTCTACAGGTTCATATGTGCATATGAGACAGAGAGAGAGAGAGAGTAAGGAAGTAAGCCATTGCCCTGCTCTCAAGTGTACTAACCCTCAACTGGGATTTGAAATGTGTGTTTGTGCGTGAGTCTTGTACACATTTGTCTGATGTCTGAGATCAGGGACAAGCACACACACACACACACACACACACACACACACACACACAACAACAACAACAACTTTCAGTTCCCTACAGCCCTGAAAGAACACATTTATGACACAGGTGTCCATGTGACTTATACTACATTTCTACCATATGACTACTTGTCCATTTCTAAACGCCAGCCCGGTTCTGTGTTGTTTATCTATAGGAGGACAACCATCCAGCGTGGTGTCACGTCCTCTGTGATAGAGGTGAAAGTTCTAACTTTTTTCCCCAGTAAGAGGAGGAGAACAAATTAGACAGAGAGAGGGAGGAAAAAAGAGGGGAGTGGAGGAGTAGTGGTGGTGGCAGGGTTAACAGATTCAGATTTCAGCTGTTGTACCCCTGAAAAAAGCTTAATGATTCATAAAAGTGCAGAGGACTCATTGATGACAGCCCTGGTTTTTTGTGGCTTGAAAAAATGTGAGTGCACATTCAGACAAATGCAGATGACAGTACTGGAGACACTCGGCTGTGTATCAGCTGTAGGTTAGTGTCTCA